TCACCAGAGACAGGGTGGGGAACAAAGCAGGTGGATTGACTGAAATAAACTGCTGAAGGGAACAGCGGGTGAGATAGGAGAAGTCTGCTGTGCCATGTGGGTTAGCTCCCTGGCCTGCTGGGAATCAAGCTGGTGCTATGCTGCAGTGGCTGCAGATAGTTTCATAGTGCTGCGACTTAACCCCTTGCACCACCAGGGAGGCCCTGATTTTCCATTTTAAACTCAAGTTAAACAATGTATTCATATAGTTCAGAATCAGTAAGTGTGAAAAACTATTCATGATACGTCTTCGTCCCATCTTCTTTGCTCAGCCAACCAGTTCTTATCACCTTCCCCCAAATAGGTAACCACTGTTAAAGTCTCAGCTCTATCAAGCTATCACCAGCCTCTGCAGCATGCGTTCGCTCCCCGGCCAAGGAGCTGACCCACATGGTGCAACAGACCACTCCTATCTCCCCCGCTGCTTGCCTCAGCAGTGTATTTCAGTAGATCCACCTGTTCTGCTCCCCACTCTGTTTCTGGTGAATCCTCACAAACCCCCAACCCCACCTCTGACCTACACCCCAGTTCTTGTATGCATAAATGAATAAAAATAAATATGTTATAAAAATAGCTTATCTCCTTCAGAGATTTTTATAAATCTATAAGCAGATATAAATATATTTTTTCCAGGGCCTCCCCGGTGGCGTGAGGTGTTAAGTTTCAGCACTATAAAGCTATCTGCAGCCACTGCAGCAGAAGTTCTATCCCTGGCAGGCCAGGGAGCTAACCCACATGGCACAACAGACCTTTCCTGTCTTGTCCACTGCTCCCCTCAGCAGTGTATTTCAGTCAATCTCCCTGTTCTGCTCCCCACTCTTATCTCTGGTGAATCCTCTCACTCCCCGCACCTCTGACGTACACCCCAGCTCTTATATGCATGAATAAATAAATCTTTAAAAAATGGGTTTTTTCTATGTGTCTTTTATATATAATTGCACACAAACTAATGATTATGCACCTTATTAGTTTTTTTCTTTTTAGATATTTTGGAGATTTTCCCATATGAATATATTAGAGCGCTTCACTTTTTGTTTTTACTTGTCCATATAGTGTGCTATTACATGATTTACTATAACTTATCTATGTTGTCTGTTATTGATGGATATCTGGGTGTCCCAATTAAAAACAGTGCTGCAGTGAGTAACTTGAATACACACGCTACAGGTAGGGAGTGTGTCTGGAGAAGAAATTCCTAGAGGTTGAATTCCTGCAGCAAAGAGCATGGGTCTTCATATTTTCTTAGCTTTAAGAGTTGCTTCCTTAAACATTATTTCCCAAATTAACCCTTTTTTCTCAAAAATTTGCTTGCTACTTTGATAACACTTTCTCAAGCTGTAAACATTCTTCTGTATACAGGAACATTGAATTGCAAAATCAATTTTGCATGCATACAAACACTCTGAACTGAGGGATATGCAAAAAAGTAGACAATCAGTGCCTATTGAAGCTTAGGATATATTGTGAAATTATACCAGACTAGACTTTGAAGTTTATCATTAAACAGTTGAGAGCCATTAAATCCTAAGCAAAGAGTGATATAAACAAAATGATACAAAATACTATTTTCGACAGCATTCCCTATATGTCAGAAAGGCAGGAGGTGAGGTGTTAGGAGTATCAGTAGTAAAAATAATAATGCAGGAGCAAGTTTAGGAAACAATGCAGGGGCCTCCTTGATAGCCTATGGGTTAAGTCTCAGTGCTATCACACTATCCCCCTATCACTGATATCAACCTATCACTGAGGACAGGGTGCTAACCTACACATGGCACAGCTGGCCTCTCCTGTCTCACCCGCTGCTCCCCTCAGCAGTGTATTTCAGTAGGTCCGACTGTTCTGCTCCCCACTTTGCCTCTGGTGAATCCTCTCATCTCCCGCACCTCTGGCCTACACACCAGTTCTATATATAAATAAATAAATCTTTTTTAAAAAATGCAGATGAAGAGTCATGCTTGTTTTTAACTTTAATTCAATTCCATTGAGTATTTTCCTTATTAACATACTAATTTTACATTAATGTAAAGTCAATAAAAATACTACATTTTTTTTAAAGATTTGTTTATACAAGCACTGGGTACAGTCAGAAGCGCGGGAGGGTGAGAGGATTCACCAGAGCCAGAGCGGGGAGCAGAGCAGGCAGAAGGACCAAGGTACACTGCTGAGGGGAGCAGCGGGCGGCTCGAGAGGTCTGCACGCCATGTGGGACCCTCCTCCGGTGGCCAGGTAGCAGCTGGGGATCAAACCACTGCTGCAGAGGCTGCGGGCAGCTTCGCAACCCAGCGCTCAACCGCTGCGCCACCGGGGGGGGGGGGCAACTTACTACTTTTTTAAACGTTCTTACTGTAACTGCTGTCATGTTAGAGCTACACATGTAAGCAGTTTGGAGTTGGATGAAAAAGTTAACCTGCAATAAATTGGTACAAGTGAAAGAGGTTATTCAAGAAAGATTTAGATTATAGAACTTTGGAATTGAAGATCTGGAAGTCCCAACTTTAATGTTACATATTTGTAATTAGAGGCCTAGGGTGTTGAACAAAGTGATTAAGCAACAGACTTGGGATTGGAATTTATGTCTTCTGACTCCCAGTTTGGATTGTTTTCTCCAAGTCACACAACTTGTGTTGTTCAAAGAACACAATAGGGCTTGCACAGGTGTGATAGTACACTCTGTGCCCTATCTGTGAAAGTAGTACCTAATCTGATGTTTCACACAGTACAGAAGCCCTTGAGTAATGTCCTCTCATTGTTAAGGTTGATGAGGAAAAAAGCCTATTCCAGCCAAAGTTATTAGAGGACCTGCTTTCCTTTTAAGTTGATTTGTTTAAAGTCTGTTTCCAGACCTCCCTGGTGGCTCAGGGGTTAAAGATACAGTGCTATCAAGCTACTGCCAGCCACTACAGCACGAGCTCAATCCCTGGCAAGCCCTGGCCATCCTGAGAGCTAACCCACATGGCTCAGCAGACCTCTCCTGTCTCACCCACTGCTCCCCTCAGCAGTGTATTTCAGTACATCTGTCTGTTCTCCCCTCTGTCTCTGATGAATCCTCTCACCCTCCTGCACCTCTGGCCTACACCCCAGTTCTTGTATGCATAAATAAAAGTAAATAAATAAAAAATAAAGTCTGAATTTCCAAGAACCTATCAAGTATGTTAAGTGAGGAGTTTCAGTACTCAAGTGTGCCAGGGATGAAAGTCATGAAGTGACAGTATTTTCATGTAGATGTGATTTCTCCCTCTTGAACTTCATAGCACTTTGTCCTTATCTCTTTTCAGAGCTCTACTTTGTGCCATACTGTGTGTGTGTGTCTAATTGTATCTCAGCCTGATCCCCAGGGATCTACCTTACAACAGGGGTTGGTCCTGATTTGTCTTTCCTCCCTGGTGCCAACACAAGATTTGAAACTACAGCCCAAATCCTTTAGGTGCCAGCATTGACCTGTGTATAAGGATGCATTTGGTCTATTCGGACAGATGAATAGAACAATGCCTGAAGAGGAAAGGGATGAGAATGTATATAGTTGTCACTGTTTTAGTCTCCCCCAACCTGCACTTATTTGGAGATTGGGTTCTCTATGGAGCACAGGAGATAGGGAAGGCAGGGCCATTCCTACTACATTCTAGCTACCACTTGGTCAGTCCAAGATCCCAGAGCTGCTTTTTCTGTTTGCTTTGCTTCAACTGATAATGAATTATAACTAAATTCCTGGCACTGTCCTTTAGGCTGAAAGTTCTAATGGAGTCTAGGAAATGAGAAAGACCCACAAATTCCGCAGAGAAATGTGTAGCTAGCGTTTGGAAAAGCAGAGAGTGGCTGCTGAGCGACTACATTTAAGATCCAGTCTAGGAGATGGGGTTTCGTCAGCGAAGACAAAGTCCTGCCTTCCTAGTACTTCCTCGAGGGGGAGGGAGGAAATCAACGAGACAAGCACACAGTATGCCAACGAGTGTCAGGTGCTAGGAGAGAAAGGGGAGCGGGGTGCATGTGTAGGGGTTGAGGGGAGATTTAATCAGTGGGTGTAAAGAACGCATTTTTTTCAAGTCAATTTGTAACAGGGTGGTCCCCAGGAAAGGGGGAGGTTCCCTGCCCCACCCAAAGGAGGGTGGAGCTGAGCAGGAAGAGGAGAAGCTGCAGAAGAGACTGAGGAAGGAAGCAGGATGGAGCCAGGAGACCTGGAGGAGGCGCATGGAGCCTAGAGACACGTGAAGAAACTGCGCTTGTCTTTTGGTCGTGGACTGGGTGACACAGATGTGGGTGAGACCCGTGGAGAGGTGACAATGGCAGCCTTTATCTTGATGCTGATTTTGCTCTTTTCTTTCCGGGCTTGTCTGGTTGTTTCTGACCCTTTTCTGTGGGCCCCCACTGGAAGATGCTTTAGACTTGTGGCAGGCTTTGGGGCCTTGTTCTGGGCCAATCCCATATGGATGGACTTTTATCCACGAGGGGACGGGTAACTTTGGGTGCTTCATTTAGAAACTAGACTGTTTGCCTTACCTGTATTGTTTCCTAATTGTATTAAAGTTCCTTCCCATTAAAGTCTCATATATTTTATGTTGATGTGGCGGATGGCAAAACCCATTTAGAATAGGCAGGTTTGTGGGGGTTTGGGCTGCCCCTCTCCCTGTCCTATAACAAACTGAAGAAGACACTGGAGTCAAAGTAGAAGGGCGTGAGAGAACCACGGGTCATCGGCCTCAAGGGCATGGCTCCCGGTTATCTGTAGGTGGTTTGTTCAGTCGGCCTGCCCACGACTCGGGAAAAGGTGACGAGAGCGTAGTTTCGACACGCCAGGCAGGCCGGGACTCGACGCAGAACAATGAATTCGGGGTCTGGAGCCCAACCTGAGAGAAAGCAGCAGTTCCGGTCCCTTTAAAAATGGCGGCTCCGCGGCCGGCCACGCCATTGGCTGCACGAGGCGGAAGAAGCGGCGACGCCTCGAGCTCCGCCCCCTACGGCGCGCCGCAGGAGCAACATGGCGGCGGCGGAGGGCAGTAGCGGTGGCGCCGACGCGGACCGGGAGTTAGAAGAGCTTCTGGAAAGTAAGAACCCGAGGCGCGAGGAGGGTGGTGGGGCCCGCCAGGTGGCAGGTGGTCCGGGGGTGCGGCGGAGTGGGGACGGGTCCAGCCGCGGCCTCACAGTAAAGCCGGTGTCGCTCCTCAGTCTTTGGCAAGAGTGGGGGCCCGGTCGTCGGTTCTCCGCCCGAGGAGAGGGGGCCCGAGGGTCCTGGGGACGGCGAGTCCCAGCCCTTAGCCCCCACATGGGCGTCCTTCCGTGCTCTGCGCTGCTTCATGAGACGCGCTTCTCTCCCCTCTCGGTCCTTCCACCTGTCTCACCCGCCCCTGTTCTGTCCTCTTGGTGTCGGCTCGAGCTGACTCCTTCCCCATCTCACTAACCCCCTCGCCTCTATTTTGAAACACCAAGTATGAGACGGCCTCAGGGAAGACACTTTGCCCTCCTGAAAAGGGGAGCATGTTCTTTTCTTAGCTCTGTTCTCCACTTTTTTGGCTTCTTTCCCAGAATGGGGCCAGTGCCCTCCCCCAGGCCTGGCAAGCAGAATAGTGGTGTTCACACAGACTTTTCAGGGCAGAGGTGACTATTTCTTGTCGCTTGCCCAGTCGCAGAGATGTGGGCAGGCTGAAAAATGAACAGAAACAGTGAGGAGTGCCCAGGGACTGTGTGAACTGGTGGCAGTTATCAGCAGAGAGGAAGCAGAGGGAGCTCTAGGACTGCCCAGAGAGCACCAAGTGGGAGGAGAAGTGAGGCGCTTCAGTGCCCTCCAGTGCAGTATAGAATGCCAACTCTGTACTAGTTCCAAGGCTCTATGGTGGTACTTATTGTGGTCTGCTTTCTTGCCAAGGATTATTCCATTGAGGGCGTCAGTGTGCGGTTAGGGGGCTGAGGACATCTGTGCTCTCTTCTCCTCCTGAATATGAGTATGGGATTTCTAGGAATCAGTAGAATGTGGTAAGGAAGGCACTGTGTAGATGGAGATGTTGTTGCAAAACTTCTTTTTTTTTTAATTTTTTTTTTATAGAGGCATGTTTATTTTTATTTATTTATTTATTTGTTTGTTTGTTTGTTTGTTTTGTTTATACATGCACTGGGTACAGTCAGAAGCGCGGGAGGGTGAGAGAATTCACCAGAGCCAGAGCGGGGAGCAGAGCAGGCAGGAGGACCGAAGTACACTGCTGAGGGGAGCAGTGGACGGCAGGAGAGGTCTGCGCGCCATGCGGGACCCTCCTCTGGTGGCCGGGGAGCAGCCGGGGATCGAACCGGCGCTGCAGAGGCTGCGGGCAGCTTCGCAACCCAGCGCTCAACCGCTGCGCCACCAGGGAGGCCCTGCAAAACTTCTTTTAACTCTCTCCTCGCAGCTCTGAGAAAGATGCTTGTTTCACCTTAAGGGATTTCTTCCTCTTTGATCTCAAAAAGTTAGGTAATGGCGAGGGAGGGGGAGGTTTATTGGGACCGAGAAAGAGAGACAAAAAGGGAGAAACCTTTAGGAAAGTTGGTATTTGAAAGATCAGTCTATTAATGCTTTGCTGAGAAACCCCTGCCTTGCATTCTCATCCATCTCTGACACACACCCCATATCTCTTGTCTCTGAAGGTGCTCTCGATGACTTCGATAAGGCCAAACTCTCCCCAGCACCCCCTCCTACCACTACAGTTCCTGATGCTCCAGGATCCCAGAAGAGATCACCAGGAGACACTGCCAAAGTATAAATTTCTCCCACTTAAGGAGGGGGCAGGGATGGGCATGCATCTCTGAGCAGAGATGGAGCAGGCCCTGTGTGTAGAGAGGAGAGTGGGGAAGGAAGGGTGCCTCGCATTGCTGAGTATTCTTACAGGCCTCAGTCCTTACAGGGACTTGAGGTTGAGTGGAGCGATCTCAAGGAAGTTCTTTGAGAAAAGAACATATTTAAATCGTTGGGTTGGGAATATCACCCCCTTTCTCTCAGTGGCCAGATCCATTTCTTGCTGTCCTCATTAAGTGAGGGCATTAGACTGTCTGGTAGGAGTAGGTAGGAGGGAAGTGCTGCATTTCCTAGAGTCACTGCCTGTGGCTTCTTTCAGAGGTCAGATGCAGTGAGATGCCAGGTAAGATGCATTTTCGCCACTCCTCCCTTGCAGGATGCCCTCTTCGCTTCGCAGGAGAAGTTTTTCCAGGAACTGTTTGACAGCGAGCTGGCCTCACAGGCCACAGCGGAGTTTGAAAAGGCCATGAAGGAGCTGGCGGAGGAAGAGCCCCACCTGGTGGAGCAGTTCCAGAAGCTCTCGGAGGCCGCAGGGAGAGTGGGTGAGGGGCCGACACTGAGACAGAGCTAAACTGACCTCTTCATTGCCTGAGAACAACAAAATTCTTAATGAAGTTGATAGCAGTCATGATGTCACTGCCATGGGGAGAGCAAGGGGGCATCAAGGAGATGGCTGGAGAGGTGGCGACCATGGAGGATTCCAAAGATTTGGAGTGATAGGGATTCACTAGTAAATGTTCAATGTCCAAGCTGGACCCAGGTCAATATATGTTAAGCAAACAGTTCAAATCCTAAATGACCTTGACTCTTTTGATTTCTCATAGGCAGTGACACAACCTCCCAACAAGAATTCACTTCTTGCCTAAAGGAGACACTAAGTGGACTAGCCAAAAATGCTACCGATCTTCAGGTGAGGGGAGGAGGGAGTGGGGAGCCACAAGGAACCACCCCCAGATGCTGCAGCACAGTCTCAAGTGACAGACTCTTTTAAGTATCATCTCAGTCTGTCACTGCCTGTTTTGCTGCCTGCAAGTTTAAGTGGTTCGTTCCCACCAGAAAGGGTGATCAGCATCCCAAGAAGGTACTAGCTTACCTCCTTCTCATCCTTTCTAGAACTCAGGCATGTCAGAAGAGGAGCTGACAAAGGCCATGGAAGGGCTGGGCATGGATGACGGAGACGGGGAAGGGGCCATCCTGCCTATCATGCAGAGCATCATGCAGAACCTGCTGTCCAAGGACGTGCTGTACCCCTCGCTGAAAGAGATCACAGAGAAGGTCTGTGGATTCCAGTTCCATGTGCCCTGGGCTCTTCGTTGTGCCATGGGGTCCTTTGTCTGTTTAGAGCCTGTAGAGGTTGTAATGTGAGTGTACATTCCTTCTATTTTTTTTTCTCATTTGTTTATTTATTTGGTGTGGGAAGAGTTTGGAGGAATTGTGTCTCTAAAGAATAAAACTACCACTCTCAGGATAGTTAGAGTAGAAGGCGAAATCCTTCAGATCTAGTTTTTCATAAACTAGTTTGAGACCGTTGTCTTCGTCTGATCAGTCTCTTCCCTCATTTCTAGCTTCTCATTTCTCCAACAAGGTCTCATTAGGTATATGTTGGCTTTGTGCTCTGACAGTTTAAGAGGAGTTTAAATGATGGTCCCAGCTGTCACAGAGCTTATCGTTTTACTAGAAAGTGAGTGTACAGGAGTAGAAGCTTTTCAGTGATGCAGGGTAACGTGATTGGGTGTAAAATGAGTAGTATACATCAAGGGTCAGTAGACCAGGGTCCAGGTGGACCAAATCCAACTCTCAAGCTAAGAATGGTATTTGTATTTTTTAAAGGTTGTAAAATCAAAACAGAGAAAGGAGAAAGAATATGTGGTAGAAAACATATGTAGCTCTGAAAGTCTAAAATGTTTACTACCAGGTCCTTACAGAAGTCTATTGGCCTCTGGTGCCATAAATGCCAGCTTAGCAAGTGATGCAGTTGGAGTCAGTGCTGCTGCTTATGCTGAACTCATTCTCAGCTTGCCTTTTCCTGCGTCCCCCTTCCCTTCTTATTTCATTGCCCTTCCTTATCCCTGCACATTCAAGTTTTCCCCACCCGTTCTCTTTCCTTAGTACCCTGAATGGTTGCAGAGTCACCGGGAATCTCTACCTCCAGAGCAGTTCGAAAAATATCAGGAACAGCACATTATCATGGGCAAGATATGTGCGCAGTTTGAAGCAGAGACCCCCACAGACAGTGAGGCCACCCAAAAGGCTCATTTTGAAACTGTGCTGGATCTCATGCAACAGGTCAGGACTCCCCTGCCATCTGCCCATGTGTGCTGTCTGCTTAGGTATTCAGTGGGAAGTATCTGGGCGGGATGTTATCATATATGGGGGTAGGGGAGCCACAAGAGAGGCCACATAGCATGGGCCCTAGGAGAAAGCAGGGACCTGGCTCAGACTCCTCTTTGGAACTGCTACATTATTGTCTGGGATCTTCTCTAGCTCATGTTCTTTTCTCATTTTCCAGCTACAGGATTTGGGCCATCCTCCAAAAGAGCTGGCTGGGGAGATGGTGAGTATGTTTCCTAAATTTTAATCTGAGCCCTTTTTCAGAATTGTGGTATCTTTAGTGATTCCACCTTGTTGTGATAATTGTGCCTACTAAGGATAGAGCTTTGGAAGCTCTAAACCTGAAATTGGAACAGTTATCTGAATCCCTTCATCTCTTCTCCAGCCTCCTGGCCTCAACTTTGACCTGGATGCCCTCAATCTGTCAGGCCCACCAGGTGCCAATGGCGAACAGTGTCTGATCATGTGAAACACAACGTCTTTTTCTCCCTAATTCCCAGCCCTGGGGAACATCTGGAGTCAGCAGAACCACTGGGAGCTGAGACAGGAGCGTCGTCTACAAGAGTGGCCTGCCCACTGCTCTCTGTCATCCCACCCAAGGTTGTGCCATACCAGCTGAGGGTTTTCCTCTGTCTTTCTAGGAATAAGGCCATTTCAGTGAGCCCTATCCATTGTGGTTTCTGCTGCAGGCAGAGGCCCACAGCCTACAAGGTGATGGAAGGCGGCATCTCTTTTGGGTCTTCCACCTTCTTCCCACTCCCGAGATAATGTTATATTCAACCACAGTGATATTCACCTTTGCACCCAGGGTCTTCGTGCCTTGTCTCTACTCCCTCTCTTGGACCTAGGGAGCAAGGACAGAGTCCCGGCACTCTGTATTTCTAGTACTCTTGGTGGGAATGAATGGGGGTGGAACTTGGCCTGGATTGGGACTGGAAATTGGTCACTATGCCTTCTTGCCTTTAGACAGACCATTCTGAATCTTCTGAAGGAAAGAAAGTGGGACTTTGGCATCTAATTACAGTGGGGTTAAAAAAGAAGCTCTCCCGGTGCTGAGCCTGCAGCTCCCTGTTCCAGCCTCAGAACCCAAATTGCTGCCTGGCTCTCCTACAATGCCGTGATCTGGGTGAACCCAACCTTGCCCTTCTTTTGCCCCCTGCCTCTTCTCTTATTTCTTCTCTTTTTAAGTATCTTTATTTTAACCCTCCTCTGAGCCCAAGCTGTGACATAGAAGGGGCCATCCTATTTTCCCTCATGTAGTCCATCTACCACCCCTCAGTTGTAAAGAGAATCAGTGTCAGGTCTAGGAAATGAATGACTGTTCTTTCCCAGATACTTGGGGATTTTGGGAAACATCTGAGTCCTTTGAACCCTGTCCCTTGATTCAAGGAGATGGCTTGGGAAGGGGCCTGGGGTGCAGCCTGGGTCCTTTTTCCTGAATAATAAATATTTTGAGTGAGGAGTGTGGCCTGTTTTTCATCCAGGTCTTTTCTGATCTTCCTCAGCTTCTATGAGCTGCAGTGTGAGTGCTGGGTTCACCCCCTCCCCTTGTGGGCAAGGGGAAAACTGACTTTCCTTGAGTGCTTCAATCTGGGAAGCCTTCAATTGGTATTGTATTTTAATATTTCACATTATCATTAATGTTAGTAATATGTTGTTTAACTTTCTAGAGTTGTTTTTAAATTTTTCTTTGAGCTCAACTTTTCCTTCTCTAGGAGCCATTGTACCTTGGCTGCCATAGTAGATACTCTGGTCAGACCAGCTGGCTGTCCTGGTTCAGCATTTAGAAAGCAGCTACCCAAGCAAATTCACACTCATCATCAAGTCATCGAGTCATACTAAGCTTCTGACATGGCACTTTCCCCTGGATTAAGACTTCACCCCACATGTTCTGTGGTTTTGGCAAGGAAGATGTTCTTGAGGCCTCAGTCATTTGATCTAGCTATTGTATCGCATCAAAGTATGGAAGAGCCCAGGTCTGAACTGGGACTACTCTACTCTGCAAGAGGGGGGAAAACACAGGCAGATATGTGATGCCATAAACTGGATGATGACAGAGAAGGGGCAAGCAAAAGGGCCCTGTCCTATGAGCAAGTGCCTACTGATCTGCCAGTTTTCTTGGACAAGTTCTCACTTCTGCTGGCCTGGCCAGGGCTTATGCTGACTCTGAGTAGATGCCCTAGTCCATACTTTAGTTTCGTTACCAAGCTCCTCCTCTTTATTTTGATTGAACATAAACAAATTGACTTCAGATTACTCTCTCCTCCAAAAACACTGAATTGTTTTAGGACTTGTAGGAGGATAGAACAGGCATTCTCAAATTGTCTGTGTTAAAGGACCAAGTTTTTTGTTTTACAGTTATCCAATTTTTTGTAGACCGATGTATGTTCCTGTTGCCCATGACAAGTGTGCAGTTCATACTGTACACTACCCACCAAACAAGCCAGATCACCCAAACTGACTGGACTCCATTCAGCAGGCTAAGTCCACTGATCATGTGCTTTGCTATCACAATGTCAAAATGCTCAACACTCAGTTCTAACTCACGGTGTTATAAACATGGTAAAAAAATTGTGCACAGACCAGTACAAGTCTTCAAACCATGTTTGAGTAGCACTGCTCTCCTGCCTCTTCAGTGTCTCTGTAGCTCCATCAGCCCAGTGAATATACTTCTGTATTTAGAGTTCTCCCCTGTGGAGAGTTCTCCCCGTTGAACCTTTCTTCAGCAAAAATATGTACCTGTAAGGACAGTTTTAGTATTTTTTTTACACTTCTGCTTGAAAATAACCATTACAAAGCTTAGGGTTAAGTTGTGCATGAAATACTTATTCTTTTAAAATTTGAAGGAAGTCCCCTCCCAAAATTCTGTGTTAGAAAATGTGAGGGTTTTTTTTTTTTTATATTTGATAGTTTCATTAAATAAATTCATACAGAATTTGTGATAATAGGGACATTTTCTCATGATTCTAGGACATCCTGACAGGGACCCCATGAGATGGCTATAATATGCTGCTTAGATGCTTTTGGGAGCTTGGGAAAAACAGTTCCCATAGTAAATGAAGTAAATGAGAAATGGTCAAAGGCTTTGAGAATGTGGACATGAGAGAATGGATCATACATTACACTGGAGATCCCACCACTAGGAATTGTGTTCCTTTGGAAGACCTGGGGAATTTTTTTTTTAAAGATTTATTTATTTATGCATACAAGAACTGGAGTACAGGTCAGAGGGGTGGGGGTGAGAGGATTCACCAGAGACAGTGGGAAACAGAACAGGCTGATTGAAATACACTGCTGAGGGGAGCAGCGGGCGATTCAGGAGAGGTCTGCTGTGCCATGTGGGTATTTCCCTGGCCTGGGATCGAACTTGTGCTGCAGTGGCTACGGATAGCTTCATAGGTTGCTTTTTTTTTTTTTTTTAAGATTTATTTATTTATTTATACGAGCACTGGGTACAGTCAGAAGCGCAGGAGGGCGAGAGAACTCACCAGAGCCAGAGCGGGGAGCAGAACAGGCAGAAGGACTGAAGTACACTGCTGAGGGGAGCAGCGGGCGGCAGGAGAGGTCTGCACGCCATGTGGGACCCTCACCCGGTGGCCAGGGATCGAACCAGTGCTGCAGAGGCTGTGGGCAGCTTCGCAACCCAGCACTCAACTGCTGAGCCACCTGGGAGGCCCCATAGGTTGCTTCTTAACCCCTTGTGCCACCAGGGAGGCCCTGAGGAATTTTATTTTAATAAAGGAAAGGCACTAATGAAAGTGTCACCCACATCTTTGAGAAGATGAGAAGTGGCTCTTTGTAGGTGGAAGCTGATATAAGGAAATGTCTAAGAGCTGGTTTCCCTGGCAGCAGAGTTGATAGGTCCATAGCATAGTAGAGTGCAAATGGCAACACTTAAGTCTCAGAAGTAAAATAGATGAACTTCCACAAAGGCATCAGAGTCAGAATGGAGGTGGCTAATAGAACATAGATGGTCCTAGGGACCCAATATGGACAATCAAGGATGATATTAATTTATATATAATTAAAAGAGACCAAGAATGTTTGAACAGAAGGCTAAGGTCAGTAACTTCAATGAAAAGTTGCCCAGTTTCTAAGCCTGGGACAGTTCTCAGACACTATTGAGTCTGTTAACCACATACTATAGAAAAGTCATTGACATTAACATCATTTCTATGGTGATATTCCCTAAACAATCCCCAGATTCAATGAAATACCCGTCAGAATCCCAGTTCACTTGTGAAATTGACAAGCTAATTCTAAATTTCATTGACATCACAATGGACTCAGAAAATCCTGAAAAAGAAGAATAAAGATGATTCATACTTCAATCTCCAGCTGGCCAGGGAGCAACCACATGGTGCAGCAGACCAATCCTGACTCGCCCGCTGCTCCCCTCAACAGTGTATTTCAGTCATTCTGCCTGTTCTGTTCCCCACTCTGTCTCTGGTGAATCCTCTCACCCCCCTGCATCTATGCCTGTACCCCAGCTCTTGTATGCATAAATAAATAAATCTTTTTTAAAAAGATGTTTAAATACACACCTGAAAATTTGCTTGAGATAGTCATCAGGAGAGTGCAAATCAAAACCACAGTAAAATTCCATGTCAAACTCAGAATATCTAGAATCAGGTCAATTGGAAGGGTGGGGAGAAACTGGAACCTTTGGGCACTGTTGGTGTGAAAGTAAAATGTTGCAACTACCTTGAAAAACAATCTGGTAGTTTCTCAGACTAAACAGTTAAATCATATAACCCAGCAATTCCACTTAGACATATATAAGTGAAACATGTCCACACAGAAACTTGCAGATGAATGTTTATAACGGCATTGTTTATAATAACCAACCCCAAAGTCCACCAACATGAATGAACAAACAATGGGACATTTGACTATAAAAAGGAATGAGGAATTGATCCATGATACAACTTGGATGAACCTTGAAAACATGCTAAGTGAAAGAAGCCAGTCACACTGGCTTTTTCATAGGAAAGTGCAGAAGAGGGACGTCTGTATAGACAAGTAGATTGATAGCTTCTTAGGACCAGAGAGGACAGAAAGGTGACAGCTAAAGAGCAGTTTCTTTTGAGGTGACAGTAATGGTTGAAAATTGTAGTGATGTATCTGTGAATACACTAAAAGTCATAGAACTATATACCTTAAATGGGTAAATTCTATGCTATGTAAATTACATCTCAATAAAGCTGTTTTTTACAAAGTGCCATGATTATCTGGTATGTAAGTCTAAATCTTGAAGAAGACTGGGTTGGAAATAAAGACTTGGAAGTCCTCCATAGATGGTGGTTTAAAACATGAGGATGTGAGGATGAGGGCCTCCCTGGTGGCGCAGGAGGTTGAGCGCCGCCCTGTGAAGCTGTCCGCAGCCTCTGCAGCGTGGGTTTGATCCCGACTGGCGGGCAAGAATCCCACATGGCGAAGCAGACCTCTCCTGTCTTGCCCGCTGCTCCCCTCAGCAGTGTATTTCATCGGTCTGCCTGTTCTGTTCCCTGCTCTGTCTCTGGTGAATCCTCTCCCCTTCCCGCGCATCTGGCCTGTACCCCAGCTCTTGCATGCATAAATAAATAAAAAAATAATAAAATGTGAGGATGGCTGGATAAGATCATTTTGGTCTTATGAATGAAAAGGATGAGAAGCTCATAACACTAAGAGAGACATAAATAGAACTATGGAGTATAGTGTTAGAAAAATAAGTGGGATTGAATATCCAGAAGGGTAATGACCATCATAACCTCAAATGTAATAAAGTCCAAAATGGGACCTCCCTAGTTATTAGGGGGAAATGATGTCCTGAGTTAATCCCATACAGGCTTTGTGGACCCCACCCCCACTCCAGACTAAAGCCATCAAGACATTGGGAAAGACAAATCCCATCACCACCAAGGGAGGGTGGCTGGGACCTGAGGGTGGAGTTGGGTAGCCAGGTTGGATATAAAAACCAAACACGTGGGCCTTGGGCTCTCTCGCTGGCTCATGATCGCTCGCCTCCTGGCTTCACGGCTCCTGGCTGGTGGCCAACTCTGAGAGCGCCATTTTGGGATTCCTGATCGGCGGATCGGGTAGGACTCATTTAAAACTTTGTCTCCCACTTTTCTCCCAGAGCTGTACATTTCCTCATTTCCCCTTCCCTTGTAAATAAACCTTTTATTAACCCTTCACGTGTGCCTGCAGTAGAGCATTGATAAGTCCTTTTAAGCGCGCGGGTGAGGACCCAGTCAGGCACCCCGTTTTGTATCGGGGTTGCTCTACAACATGGTGGCATAGGGGTTGTCAGTGCTATCACTTCAATGGCCTGAGTTAGATGCCTGGCTAGAGAACTAACCCACACATGGCACAGCAGACCTCTCCTGTCTCGCTGCTGCTCCCCTTGAAGTGTATTGCAGTAGATCTGCCTGTTGTCCCCAATCTGGCTCTGGTGAATCCTTTCACTCACTCCCCTGCATGTCTGGCCTACACCCCAGTTCTTCCACGCAAAAAACAAACAAACAAAAAAAAAACCCAAAAAATGACCAAAAAAAAAGTCCAAAATAAAGAGTTGGTAGTAATAGCAATGGTGTCCACAAAGCAATGAGCACCATAACCAAACTATAGCTCCACTCAAATCACTCTTGTGAAGGCCATTAATAACCTCCATGCTTTCAAATCCAGTGGTCAATTTTCACTCATCTTTTTAAAGATTTACTTATGCATACAAGAGCTGGGGTGTAGGCCAGACATGGGGGTTGGGGGTGAAAGGATTCACCAGAGACAGAGTGAGGAGCAGAGCACGCAGTTCCACTGAAATACATTGCAGAGGAGAGCAATGGGCAAGACAGGAGAGGTCTGCTGTACCATGAGGGTCAGCTCCCTGGCTGGGGATAGAAGTCATGCTGCAGTAGCTGCTGATACCTTCGTAGTGCTGAAAATTTTAAAATGAAAAATGCATCATAACTAGGTCAAATTACACAACTTCTAAAAATGAAAACAAAAAAGGTTGGTTGTTACTTTTTTTTTTTAAAGCTTTATTTATTTATACAATGCCGCGGGCCAGCACAGCAGTAGACGATGAGGCTATCTCAGGGTTGAGAGAAACACACAGGGTGGTCAGGGAGTCGGCAAAAGAAATGACAAACAGATACACTTCAAGAGAGAGTGTAAATCTGAGTGTAATTCTCTTTGAGTTTGTGACCAGTATATATATGTTTTCTAAAAGCATAGGAACAATGAATATCAACGAAATCAGCTTGCTCATGGGTTTAGCTTATCACTGACAGGGCAGTGATTTACATCTGGACCTAGCCTCATTCCTAAGTAGATAGACCATTAGTTTTGTTTTTAAACTATATAATCACATTTTTTGTTTTACTAACTACTTTTTTACCTAAACTATATTTTAATTATTACAGGGTTTAGTAATGTTTCATTTGAGTCAGACTTATGTTAAGGATTTCATATGATTTTTTTAATTAACAACCAATGACCTTTATAGAAGAAAGAAGGAAGTTTAGAAAGACAATAAGGGAATAAAGTTTGTAGTTCTAGAAAGACGAGATAAGGTTTTTTGAAGTAGCATTCTTGTAGTGGTTCCTGGTGGTCGTTATCTTTTGATAAGCATCTGTCTTATCTATGTTTTCAGGGAACTTTGCTGTACTCCCCTGCGCCTGGTTCCTTGCCCAGTCGGACCTAGGGACCATGGCGAAAGCCATTAGCCCTAAAGGTCACTGCAGGGGGAGGTGCAGCAATACAAGAGCTGGGGTACAGGACAGAGGCATAGGAGGCTGAGAGAATTCATCAAAGACAGAGTGGGGGGGAGAACAGGTAGACAGACAGAAGGCATTGCTGAGGGGAGCAGCAGGAGAGACAGGAGAGGTCTGCCATGCTAAGTGCGTATCTCCCTGGCCGGCCGGGATCAAACCCGCACTGCAGAGGCTGCAGACAGCTTCACAGCGCAGTCCTCAACCCGCCCCGCCACTGGGGAGGCCCTAGTTGTTACTTTTAAATCAATACCTTTTAAATAAATTTTGCTGTATTTTCTTTCAGACCTCTGCTAGTTGGATCACCTCAGGATCAGGGCTTCAGTCTATAGACTGTTCCTGTTTAACAGGGCTCTCCACTTGGTAATGGTACCTTTTATACCTAACGACTTCCCAGTTCATACTAACAATTGCCCCTTCTAATAAGCTCCAAATTTATAGTATTTGTTTACTCAGTAGCTGCATTTGGAAATTTAGGTATCTCCTAAATTTAGGTATCTCCTAAAGCTGAACAGGCCTAAAACAGATCTGGACATTTCCCGCAAAAAAACTTCTGCCTCCTCTAACACTCCCCATTGCAATTCTTGATGCTCATGTTAAAAAAAAAAAAACATAGATTAAGATCTGGAAACAACCTAAATGCCCAAAACCAGATGACTGGATCAAGAAAATGTGGTATATATACACACTGGAATACTATTCAACAATCAATCAAAAAGATAAAGTCATGCAATTTGCAACATGGTTTTTTTTTAATAGACTTATTTTTTTATGCATACAAGAACTGGGGTAAAGGCCAGAGGTGCAGGGGTGAGAGGATTCACCAGAGACGGTGGGGAACAGAACAGGCAGACTGACTGAAATACACTGCTGAGGGGAGCAGCGGGCAAGACAGGAGAGGTCTGCTGCGCCATGTGGGTAGCTCCCTGGCTGGCCAGGGATTGAACTCCAGCTGCAGAGGCTGCGGATTGCTTCATAGTGCTATGCTTAACCCCTTGCGCCACCAGTGAGGCCCATTTTCCCATCAACCTGGATGGAGCTAGAAGGGATTATGCTCAGTGAAGTAAGTCAGAAGGAAAAAAAATATCAGATGGTTTCACATACAGGAGGAATATAGTGAAAATGAAAAAGGGTCAAAAAAAAAAAAAGAGAGACAAAACTTGCAGGCAACTTATAGATCTGAGGTATATAGCAGGGGAGGGGGAGGGACATGGGTCAAAATAGGGAAGAGCACACAGGACTATGGTGATGGTTCGTTCAGGTTCATGGGTGATTTGGCAGGAGATGTATAGGGACCACATGAGCAGAGAAATCAAGTATTATACAAAAATTAAAAAAAAGTAAGGAAAAAACCTTAGATTGTTGTTTCTATTTTGTACCCCATATTTAATACATTAGCAAATCCCCTTCTCCTCCTTCCAAGTACATCTTGAATCCTCCCATTTGCCCTGTAACTAATCTCACATTATCCTCTGTAATAGCTTCCTGTTTTTTCAGCTTTTTTCCCTTCCTACAGGCAGTTAAAGAATCAACCCAAGTGAATCTCTTCATTTACAAATCAGATCAAGTCTCTCTTAACATCTTCCATGGCTTCCTAGCACTCTTAGGATAAAAGACAATGTCCTCTCCTAAGGGCAAGTTTGAAGTGATCTGACAGCCATTATATTTCTCTAAACTAAATTTCTACTTGCTCTTTGACACACTGGATTCCTTGCTGTTCTTTGAATACACTGAGCACACTCAAGCAGCAGGTCTTTTTATCTTGCTGTTCCCTCTGCCTGGAAGGTTCTTTAGACTGTGTGAGTCACTCTCACTTCAAATGTCACCTCAGCAGATGGACCTTTCCTATGTAAAAGATCACACCTACTCAGATAACCCACTTTTACTCTGCTTTTTTTACGGTATGTAACATAACACCATAATCTGTTGCATCATCTCCTTCCCCTTCCTGACCCCTTTCTCCTCCCAATAAATAGGATCTATGAATTCAGGAATCTTAGTTTGCAGCCCCAGCACCTAGAATAGGGCCTCCCATGTATAGGAATCCAATGGTTGATGTAGTGAATGAATTAATGAATAGAATGGCAGTGCATTAGAGAGCTGCTTTGTACTCTGACCTCTTCTAGGTGTTGAGGACACAAAGATGAAAAAAACAGTTCCTGCCGTTATAGACTTTAGATTCTAGATAGTCAGATCTCAAATATATAATTAAGAGATTAAATGTTAATGATAAAAAAGTTATAAAGAAAACAATGCAATGCAAAGCCAGGATGTTGGTGGAGGGTACCAATTTTGCTGGAATGGTCAAGAGCTGCCTTTCTGAGACAGTAGCATTTAATTTTTTTAAATATTTTTATTCTTTTTTTTTTTTTTTTTTAAACAGGCAGATCTACTGAAATAAGCAGCATTTAAGAGATTTGATTGAGTGGAGAGAGCAAGTCTGGTAAAGATCTTAAACAGGCCAAAAGCCCAGCTGCTGAAACACGCCTCTGGAGTGTCAGCCAGGCCTATAGAGCAGAAACAGATCGTGGGGGAGAGTTAAGCAAGTCGTGAGGGTCTTCCTTAGTGGCACTGTGATCATCTTGTTCTTTTTACTATGTAATGGGAAGCTTTGGGAAGTTTTGAGTGAGGAAATACTAAGACTTGACTTACATTCTATTAGTTTAAAATAATACTTTTTATTTATACAAACACTGGGGTACAGGTCAGAGGCGCGGGAAGGTGAAAGGATTCACCAGAGACAGCACAGAACAGGCAGACAGACCGAAGACACTGCTGAGGGGAACAGCGGGCGAGACAGGAGAGGTCTGCCGCGCCATGGGGGTATCTCCCTGGCCGGCCGGGATTCGAACCCGTGCTTTAGAGGCTGGGGACAGCTTCACAGCGCGGTACTCAACCCGCTGCGCCACCAAAGAGGCCCCTTGACTTTCATTCTACAAGGTAACTCTCCCCAGAAAATTCTTGACAACACATAGCCTAGGAACTCACAGAGGGAGAACGAGGACCAAAGGCATCGATTAACGTTACAACTTTTCCGTATAAACATCACTCTGCATGCCCCGTGTTTATCCAGCGGGACATCAACTGGCAGAAAGTCAGCTGTGGGGCCTGTGCTCACCCCGGGCTTCAAAAGTGGGGTAGCCTCCCCGCTTCAGAGCCCTCGCTGCGCGGTGTTGGGGACCTTCTGGGCGTCTCTTCCGGGGAAACTGCACCCCGACCTCTCTAGCCCCGTTTAAAGAGCAGGGAAGGCGCTCTTGGAGAGCAGGTCTACAGGTCACAGAAACTTGTCAGCAAACAGGGTCCTCAAAAGAGAGTGTGAGGAAGGCGTCGCAGACGCGCTGCCGCCCGCCGCCTCCAGGAAACAACTTGCGGGACAGTCAGAACGGAGCACGCGCGCGCCCGCACCCCAGCGGCCCCGCACCCCAGCGGCCCCGCACCCCAGCGGCCCCGCACCCCAGCGGCCCCGCACCCCAGCGGCCCCGCACCCCAGCGGCCCCGCACCCCAGCGGCCCCGCACCCCAGCGGCGCTCGCGCTCGCACGCCCCGCCCCCGCGGCGCGGCGTCGCAAACCGGCCGCAAAGTGCGGTGGCGCAGGCGCAGGCGCGGGGCGCGGAGGCGGCGGCCGCGGGCCAGTGTAAGATGGCGGCGGCGGAGGACCGGGCAGCTGGGCCTGGGGCAGTCGGAGCGGCCGCTGGCAGAAGGAGGACTCGAAACGGGAAGTGGGCTGCCCAGCCCCGCCTGCTACGGCGCCTGTAACCGCCCGGCCGGATCCCCCGCCCTACCCGGTCCGTGTCCCGGCCCGACCGGCCTGCCCCCTCCTCCAGCCCTCTTCTGAGCATGGCTCTGACCCTTCTCCCCGCTCCCCTGGCTCATTTCCCCCTCCCCCGTCCCGGACGCCTCCGGGAACCCTGGCCGTCCTTCTCGGGCCCGCCCTGGCCCGCCCCGAGAGTCCGCCCTGTACTCGAAGGGACGTGCGGCCCCAGCTTGGAGCGCGTGCCCCCGACCCCGCGGCGCCCCTCCCCCACCGGGGACTCGGCCGGCCCCGCGAGCCCGAAGCCGGGGGCCCTGAGTCGGTTGTCGGCGGCTCGTCCTCTGATGGCACCCCTCCTTCCGCGTCCAGACCTTCCGGGACCCCGCAGGGCGGCCCTTGGGTCCGGTCGTTGGGAGCAGCTGGCGCAGGGACTTGTCGCTCGCGGCTGTGTCTGGGGTCTGTGACCTGCCGCCTGGACGCAGTCGCCGCCGTCAGCTCGGTTCCCACTGGGCTGCCGCGGGTGGAGCGGATGGGGGAGGGTTAGTCCAAGGCGCAGGGTTTTCTTTTTACGTTTTCATGCAACCGGGAGAGTTCCTAACTATGTCGGGTACTTAGTAGTCAAAATTAGGTAAATTAGTCTGGTTTTAAATAGTTTTTACGAGGCCGAAAATGTCATGATGGGTATTTTTTTTTTAAATTAAATTTAGTAGAAGAGCAACCTTTTCCACTTAAACTGTAACTTTTCTCAGTCCTTCAGTGACTCTACGGACCTATTTTCTCAGCAGCTCAGCCCGGCCCTACTTCAGTGGTAAAGAAGGAAAGGTGAGTAGGAGATGAAGGCATTGAAATTTCCGAGTTCCAGATGGACTTTGTTGCTCAGGTGCTGAACACTTAAAGTCAAAATTCCTACCGCAGTTTCCCGAAGAGTTGGGGTGGTGTCTACCCCTGGTTAAATTACTTTTACAAGTTTAATTGGCTGCGGGCATCTTGACTTTCTGTCCTCAACTGTGGCTTGTATTTCACATGTCTCCAGTTAGGCCTGAACTTAATGTGTCTCCTTTCTTTCTTCATTTGTTTGTGTGTTGTGGATCATGTTTCTTACATTGTTAAAAGTTGAGAATTAGTTTGCCTGAGTTCTCTTCAGCCTTTTGTCAAATCAAGTCTATTCCCAGCTTAGGGCGTTGGGTAGTTGTTTCCTGCTATTTTAGAAGAAAATATTCCCCTGCTTGAAAAACTGGGGATTGATAAGTGATGCTGCCCTCAGGTGGTGTCTGTGTTCAGTCCACCTCAGAATTCCAACTATTTAGGACCCAGTGATAAATTTGGAGTTAAAAAGTATATGGGCTGCTCTTTTCTAGCTGAAGAATTCTTGGTCAGCAGAGGAATCTCCTGTGTATTCAGCAGCATGGGGCAGTGTCAAAAAGGGAGTACATTTTTCCAAGCTGTTGGGCTCTTCAGTGATCTCCATCAACAAATTATCAAAAAGCTGGACCCTCTGCGGTGCCGGTTCATTCCCTGGCCGCTCGCGAGGGTCCCACCAAAAAAAAAAAAAAAAAAAAAAGCTGGACCCTGAAAAGGTCCTTCTTTGTGGAGCAGCTCTGGTTGGGAATTCAGAATGCAGAATTTCTTATTTCATCTCCCCAGTTGGACTAGCACAGATGAAAACTTTTTAGCCTTCTCTGTTGACTTCCAGATCTTTTGGGAGGGAGACAAAGACACATGGAAATTAAGAAAATGTTAATAATGATCAAAGCAACTGTATGCATTTGGGCTGGTGATGAACTTGGAGTTGACCAGTTTTCATTTTTACCCTTCAGGGTTGAAATTCTGTATTGAAAGAAAGACTCTTGGGTATAGGTTGGTAAGGTGGGCTGTATTTTTTTAATTTGTCTTTTTATGAGATCTGGAGCTCTGCTGGGTGAGAGGAGTGGAGGAAAGTGGGAGGAAGAAAAGGAAGTATGTTGAAAGAGGTATACCTTTGACTGTTGGTTATTCTTCCATGTGCTGGGTAAGAATCCCCTCTTTCTCTCAAGGTTTTCATGTGTTATGCTTCAGGTGACATTCATGTATACAGTGAATCAATATTCCAGTATTCTTTTTGACCGCAACTGTAAAATTCTTACCTTTCTGAAGATATTTTTTACTTCAGAGTTTTGTTTAAGAAATAAACAAAACCTCTTATCCAGAGGTCTATTAAATCAGTCCCAGTAGCACAATCCTTAGGATAGACTTGGTCAACCTAAGACCCAAATTTGTCTTCCCAGAGAATTAAAAGAAAGCAGGCTTTTGTTACCAATTTAAAACAATACTGGCATTTCAGAAGCCAGTGGACTCTAAAAGAAGACATTGGGTAGAAGTGTACCAAGTTGTGGGAAACTGAGTTTTTCAGTTCCCCTCTCTGGATCCTGTATTCTCTCAGGCTGTTATACTCATAAAGTGACTTGTTAAGCTTCGTTTTAAGGTGGTGGATTTATTTTCTGTTTTGTTTCTATCAATGCTATAGGGAAGTTATTCTTGATATGTCTAAGAAATGTCTCGATTAGAAAATACAAAGTCATTCAGACAGCTTTTTATTGCATACCATTGGTGTTAAAGTTAGTTTTTAACTAACTTTAGTTTAAAAAAGATGGAATTACCTTTTTAATTTTTTTTGAAGATTTATTTATTTATACAAACACTGGGTACAGTCAGAAGCACGGGAGGGTGAGAACTCACTAGAACGGGGAACAGAACAGGCAGACTGATGAAATACACTGTTGAGGGGAGCAGCGGGCGTGGCAGGAGAGGTTATGTTGCTCCATGTGGGACCCTTGCTGGCAGCCGGGGTTTGAATTGGCGTGCTGCAGAGTCTGCGGGCAGCTTTGCAGCCCAGCGCTCAACCGCTGTGCCACCAGAGCAGGCCCACCTTTTTCATTTTTAAAGCAGATTATCATTGAACCAAAATAATCTGTTATTTACCTTCATCCATTTGGCAACCAGGCAACTAAAAGAATTGAATTAGCAACAGACTTGAAGGGTAGTTACTATGTACATCTTAATTTCACAGCCAGTTGTCAGTGCTTTTTGTCTTAACTTTGCATAAAATTGAAAATTTAACTTTCATTTTAGTGAATATACCCAAGAAACTTCATTGCTATAAAGTGGATCAGAAAAAGGGGCTACCTACCTATTTTTATTTATCTATTTATTTATTTTTAAAAGATTTATTTATTTATACAAGAACTGGGGTTCAGGCCAGATGTGCAGGAGGGTGAGAGGATTCACTAGAGACAGAGTGGGGAACAGAACAGGCAGACTGATGAAATACATTGCTGAGGGGAGCAGTGGGTGAGACAGGAGAGGTCTGCCATGCCATGTGGGTATCTCCGTGGCTGTCAGGGTTCTAACTGGCACTGCAGAGGCTGCAGACAGCTTCACAGCACTGTGCTCAACTGCCTGCGCCACCAGGGAGGCCCCCTATTTTTATTTATTGATTCAGTCATTCTCTTGTTGGAGAAAGTCCTTGAAAGGTCTTCAGAAATTATTGTGTGATGAATGTTATGAGTTGATCACTCCTTTATATTAGGCTTTTATCTCTACCTCAACAGGACATAATTTCTGGGCCAAAAGCCCAATTTCTCAAATAGTATCTTAACTCAGAAATGTGCAGGCTATAAGTATTTAATGAACTGAGTCTGACCCAGGTTTGCCAATGGGGCATGGGGAGTAATTAATATCACAAAGATGACATCTTACTAACAAAACATAGTATGTCTAAAGTTTTTTTATCATTGTATCTGAGAATTTAGGTGTTTGGTTTTATCCTCTGAGGATGCTGTTTGAGGAGGTCTGGCCATGTACTAATGTGAAACATCTGTTCTTGCCTCACCTATTTACTTGGGTTAGTGGTTTTTCTTTTTTTATTGTGATACTGGTTTTTCTTATCCATCTGGAAAGCTAGTGAGAAACAGGTAAGCAGATTTCATGGACTGGGAACAGTGTCCTAAGTTGTGTACAGTGTTTGGAAGATCATTGTTGGTGATGTAGAAGTGCAGGCTTCTCTAGGAAGTGTAGTCTGGAACCAGAGATGAGAAGCTAGGAAAGCAGTAATAATGCTTGCCATGTACAGCAGACTCTTTGCATATGTTGTCTTTAATCCTCCAAATCAGCTTTTGCAGGGTAATGGTATTATCCCATTTTACAAAAGAAGAAACTGAAACTCAAACAGGTGATGGTAGAAGTGGAATATATACCGGGTCTGAATGGCACCAAAGCCATTTTCTTTCTCTTATACCATATGCTGTCTTTTTAAAAAATGGGCCTTTTTGGTGCCAAAGAATGAAGCACATAAACTGAAAGGTACAATTCAGTATTTACGTACTTACAAAAGTGTGCATAAAGTGTGAAAGATGTGTCCAAATGACAATATGTATGGAAACATTTTTGAATTGTTTAAACATGGATCTCAGTTATGTTTAATTGGTCAGCTAAATGTGTTTTTTAAAGAGATCGTTTTAATGGACATAACTGCAGGACAGCTGAATCCTTTTGTTATGTGATCCTTGAATAGGGAGAAAATTGACATTCTCACTCAATACCTGAGGTTATTCTATGAGAAATTATTGTGACTCTTGCAGCCTTTTCTCAGTATGCACTTTTCTGCAGTGTTTGAAACTTAGTCCACCTCCAACTTCTTTAGACTTTTTTATCTTTTGACTTCCAAGGCACTTAACTGTCATTATTCTTTATACCGGAGCATTTCTCTGTCTTTCTTTCATTTTCATAAAGAAGGTAGATATTCCCCATGAGTCCTTCGTTGGCCTGTGTTTCAGAGCTTTGCTTGCTCCTTTTTCTTTTTTTAAAAGATTTAGTTTACTTATTTATGCATACAAGAGCTGGAGTGTAGGCCAGTGGTGCAGGGGGTGAGAGGACTCACCAGCAATAGAGTGGGGAGCAGAACAGGCGGATTGACTGAAATACACTGCTGAGGGGAGCAGCGGATGGGACAGGAGAGGTCTGCTGTGCCATGTCGGTAGCTCCCTGGCTGGGTATCGAACTAGTGCTGTAGTGGCTGCTGATAGCTTCATAGTGCTGAGACTTAACCACTTGTGCCACCAGGGCTTCCTGCTGTCTTTCTTTTGTTTTATTAATGAGGTATATGTTTATGATGTATTTGATTTTGAAGCTCTGTCTAGAAATAATAAGACTGTATCTGTGGCCCTAATTTATTTCTCAAGTTTCAGACCTATATTGGTCCTCAAACAGCATTGTTTCTTTATATTATTGCATTGCTAGCATGGTGGGGTACAGATGAGCCACTGGGTGGCACCAGAGTCCGTAATTGGGATAAGGAAGGAGTGGCCCCACCCCCAGCCTTTACAGTTGGATTGCCCTGTGCTGTCATATCTGCACAATAGGAATGGAGATAAATTCTCTGATCCAGTAACATTCATTTCATAGTTTCTTTTTGCTTGTCTGTCCAGTTGACCAGAGGAGACAGTATAGTATATTCACTCCAAGTACTTAATAGAGGGTGGCCCAGAGCTAACTCTTTGCCCACCGCTTCAGCATGTTTTTGTGTCGTATCAGTTTCAGCTGCTTTGGGCTTTTCCTTTGAATATCAATGCCTTAGGTTCTCTATGATTAATAAACTGTAGTTGAGTATGGCTGGCATAGGAAGCAGGAAAGTGGTGTGGAAAAATATTTATTGTGAAGTATAAAAACAGTAAGGTAGGAGGATGAATTTAAAATGAGCCATTTCAGCTTGAAAGCAAAAATTGGGGAAAGGGAAAGTAGGACTGGTTGCTTCTAGATGGACTGTGCCACATAGTACTGAAAAGCAA